AAATTTCGTCAAAAAATTGTTCGACCAATAAAATTTCATCAAAAATTTGTCCAATCACAGAGAAAGCCCGCTTTGGATACGAGCATGGTGAAGCTGAAAGATTCAGTATTAGCGTTAGTATGTAAATCGACGGAATTTTGGCGAGTAAAGGTTGTGCCAGCCATCCAGCAAAAGCTTAATCTCCATTTCGAACAGCAAATGGGTATTGATGAATCTTATAACAATAATAATTCCACTGTTGTACGTGTATGTCATATGACGTCGGAACGCTTGAATATTACTTTATGTCAAGGAACAGCTTAAACTGGGCTTTAGCGAACATCTTACTGTGAATAAACGTCTACTTTATGTTAGGAATCGAATATTCTCAAGAAACATTTGATTTATTGAGCAGACACCAGACAACGAATTAACGGTGCTTGTCAGTTTACGTAATAGAAAATGTTGTTTACGAATATAAATACATCAATTACTGTTCATTATGGTTAATATTGGTTTGTAACTTGCATATCTGAACAATTACCTTGGGCCATCAGAACAATTACCTTGGGCCATCAGAACAATTTCCAAGCGAAAGAATTAATAACACAAAATCAATGATGCGTTTCAAATAAAATATTAATAATCATACAATATTAGCTCTGTATGCCTCATAAAATTTTGGTATTCGAACCGTAGATCATACTCGTGTCTTTAATACTGTCAACCATTATTGAAGCCATTTTTATTTTTTAAACCGTAAAAAAACTAACTGTTATTCGAAAGGACAACTCTGCGACATCGTATGAAGATGTATAGAAACTTGTGTCAACGCTTTATGGAGAATTGGGATGAGTTAATGGAATGATACCGCCACCAGTTTGTATAAGTAAGTTCTTAATGTAATCATGCTTCCAATTATCAAGCATCCACTTACCAGTATTAGTATCTGTTTGCATGCCATATTCCGGATACGTTCACATATGGCGATAGGATTCTCTAAGTTGACGACTAATATCGATGTCGCAG